GCAGAATGTCGGGAAGATATTGAAAGCCCCAGCCTTCAGCGGCACTTCGGAGAAGAAGTCCGCCAGTTCCGCAGCGACGGAACTGACGCCTAGGGCGATTCGGCACGACTCAGAAGGCGCGGCCTTGACTTCGCATGAGACCACCGTTGTTGCGGGGAAGGCGACCGAAGTAAAAACCATCCCGCGGCACGCGCGGGCTGAGAAGTCTGCCGCAATGGACGAAGAGAAAGTTGCGAAGAACGTCTTGGAGCGAGCCATGGCATCTGCGCATCGTCATTTGCTGTGCGAGCCAATGCCCATCAGCATGTCCGCGCGCGGAAACGTCGCGAAGGCCTTGGCCACGGCAGACGTCGGCATCGGCGGGTTGATCGTGCCATTGCGGTTCCAGTGGAACACCTCCGTGGTCATGGGGTCTTCGGGCGCCCAGACGCGCGCCAGGGCTGTGGCCGCTGAGGTGTCCTGGTTTTTGCCCGCGACCTCCGCTGCGGCAGAATGCGGCCTCGAAGTCGGAACCCAGATCAGCAAGAAGATATTTGTGCAACCGGAGCTGAAGCTCCCAAAGGCCACCCAGGACGGATACCAATGGGCATTGAATGATTCAGTCCATCCCTTCTGGTTCATCAAGCGCGCTGACGCAGAAGAGAGTTTGAGTTCGGCGAACGCCGCCATGGTGATGGAGAAGCTGACACAAGTTTTTGCCAGTGAGTTCTCTCAGGTGAGAGAGGCCAGAGGCAACGCTAGTGCCTGCGTGGTCACGCACGCGGTAACATTGCCATGCATCGTCGACGCGGTTGCCATGAAAGCGGGGCAGGAGATCGTCGCGACGCGGCACAAGGCAGCCATTCAGAAGAAAACGAAAGCACCTGACAAGCAGACCGCTTTCGACCAGCTCGCCCGCGAGCTCAAGAAACCCAATAAGTAACTAGTTATAAAATATTATGCGGTTGCGGGGCGATGAAGTTTAGCGATGCGAGGCGGCGGGGGGATCGTCTCGACACGAGTTTGCCGGGCGATCGGGGAAAATTCTCATGCATTCATCCCTCTCTTTGTTTATGAATTTCATTTTGCTCCAGTTAGCGTTCGCCTGCTAAGTTTTTCTTGCCCCTGCATTCCCATCCTTCCATCGCTTTGCTCCTCCTCCCCATCCGCCTCCTCTCCCTCAACCTCTCGCCCCGTTTTCTCTTTCCTCCTGCTCGTGCTTCGCTTTGCCCCCCCATCCTGCGCCCGCCCCCTGCAGCCCCAGCGCCCCCCATCTCGCCTGCAGCTCCGTCTTTCTCTAGCGCAGCCGCGGCGGCTCAAAGTTGCCCGTCGCCACCCTTCGCGGCGACGGAGTTCGCGCCGCGATGGGCCCCGAGAAAAAAAAAAAAAAAAAAAAAAAAAAAAAAAAAAAAAAAAAAAAAAAAAAAAAAAAAAAAAAAAAAAAAAAAAAAAAAAAAAAAAAAGCCAACAGCGCGAGTGGGCGCGTCCGGGTCGGACAAGGAAGACGGCTACGACAAGAATGACAAATGCGCTACCCGCCGCATTCGCCGTCGCCCGCAAGCAGTTCGGGCGGGGGGGTGGCTGGCAGCCAGCAAGGCGAGTAAGGGGGCGAACAGCCGCCAAGGGCTCGGGCGCCGCCTCCGCCGCCAAAGGGTAATGACCGAAACTGGAGCCCAAGGCGAAACTCATCGCTCGCAGAACGCAAGATGAGAAAGAAGATGATAAAGAACGCGAGAAAAAAGACGCGAACAAAAAGGAATGGACTGCCGAAGAGCGGCAGCAGTGGGAACAAGAGAAGCGGGACAGAAAGAGGGGGCGGGAGAGGAGACGCAAACATAGGAAAAGGGAGCGGGAGGAGCAGAAGTGCGAGGGCCGCGCCGAAGACGAGTGGCCCGAAGAACCCGCGGTAGCGGAGGGGGGGCTAGCAGGCAAGACGCAGCTTGAGGACAAACAAGCAAAAACCGCTCGCAAAGCAGAAGGCCGCAAGAAGGGCGAGCAGGAGAAGGCAAGGTCGAGCAGGGCCCCTCCGCCAGAGCGTCGGGAAGAGCCATCTGGGAGGTCTCGCAGAGAAGATCTCAATGCCCAGCTCCGCGCGGAGGCGCCAGACATCCTGGGCGAATTGCGACGGGATCTCAAAGGGACGATCTTGGAAGAGACAAGAAGGCTCAGCGAGAAAGCCATGAATAAGGAAAAGCACAAAAAGGCCAGGGAGCTCGAGAAGGCAAGCGAAGAGGCGGCCAAGGAGAGGGAGAGGCAGAAGGAGAAGGAGGCGAAGAAGGAGAAGAAAGAGAAAGAGGAGAAGAAGAAGAAACGCGAGGCCGCTGTTGCGGCCGAGGAACCCACGCCAAAGAAGGCGCGACCGTACAAGAAGAGTAAGAAGAAGGACAGACGCGAGGAAGACTCGACACTGGAGGCTGAGGCGCTCGCCACGGCGGTGAATGCACGGGAAAGGGGGTGGGCAGAGAGGCGGAGATTGTCGCCATCCGCGTCTCCCCCCTTCCCCGCTTCGATCGCCGTTTGAGACGGTGTCCGACGACGCGGACGCAGAGGGCTCCGCAGAGGGCCCCCTAAAGACAGCGCCATGGGCACCGCCGCCGCCAGCGCCCCCAGAAGAGGCTTCCAGCCAGGAGTCCTCTGAGGACGACCCGAGCTCTGAGGCCAGTCCTCCTGCAGAAGCCGCGGCGAAAGCGCCGGCCGCCCGCCCTCCTGAGAAGCCGCGGCGACTGCGCCAGCCGCGGCAGCGGCGTCTGCCGCAAAAGGCGCAGAGCAAGCGCCCGGCGCGCCGCGTTTCGGACGCGCCGGCGCCGAGTCCGACGCAGAAGGCTCCGAGGCGATCAAAGAAGACGACAGCTCAGACGAGGAAGGTCCAACCGCCGCCACTCCTGGGCAGCGCCTGTCTGCAGAGCCCCAATACCACGGCGTCGCCGCGCCGCCCCCGCCAGCCGCCGCGGCGGCCCACCGGCAGCGCGCCAGTGGCTGGCGCCCCAGTTGGCCATGGCCGCCGCCGTGGGGCTGGCGGGGCAGGTCCTGGGACAGCGGCGCTCCAGGTTGGTTCCAACTGGACTCCTGGCAGAAGTCGCTTCAGAGCGGAGCGGCGCACTCGAGCGTCGCGGTTGCGGCAGGGGAAAGCGGGGGCGGCAGCGCCCAGGTTTTGTATGTAAAAGTGTCGGACGGAGCCGACCTCAAGGACGTCGCGAAAGATATTCGCACCCATGGCGCCCACCTGGCCATGATCCTCGTCGACGAACCTGACCAAATGCCAATGCTCAAACAGATGTTGCAAGACGCTTCGGTTCCAGCAGAGCCCCGTGGTGACGGAGCGCGCCCAGAAGTGCCGTACTTGGTCGCCGAAGGTCACCTAATGCTCTTTGCAGGTCGCGAGGGTTTTGTCTCGGATGTGGCACTCATCACGAAATAAAGCGTTAACCGAGGCATTGGCACGTTGGCCATCGTCGAATTCCAGCTCGCGGTTGCCATCCAGCAAATGGCCAGCATCAAAACAGGCCTGTTGAAGATTGGCCAGCGTTGGAAGCAGCGCGCCGTGGGGGGGCGGGGAGTTTGGGAGTCCGTCAGTCGCGGCGTTGCCAAGAAGGGTGTCCGATTCCTTGCGGGAGAGTTCCACGCCTCCTCGGTAGTGCAGTTTCTCGAGCAAGCGCGTCAGGGCACGCAGCTGAGGCCGTGCGCCAGAGAGCAACGCAGCCTCCAGGAGGAGCACATTTTTTCACTGTGATGCTCGTCGCGGGGCCTGTGAGCGAGGTGGAGATGGCGGGCGAAGAGCGCCGCGGTTGCGGGAGACTGCTGGAAGGGTCGCTTGATTTCGGTCCGATGAGCCGTCGCGTGGCCAAGGCGCTCGCGGCCGATCCGTTCGATACCAGAGGCGATGACAAGACTGGGACTTGGCCGTCCATCCGCAGCGCGAAGGAGAAGAGCGCGAGGGTCGTCCCAGACAAGACTCAGAAGATGTCGATCTTCCTCGGAGGGAAGAGTAGCCGCCGCAGCGCGGGGGCCAAAGTAAAGAGGGCTGCGGGGACGAAGAAATGGATGGGCGGGAATTGGAAGGCGAAGTGAGGGCACGGCTGGTGCCCCGCGGTGACGGGGCCAGCGTCTAAGAGCGCGCGCGGTGCGGTCGCTGTGCCTCGCGCAAAAAAGAAAGCGCGCGGGGGGGGGGGGGGGGGGGGGGGGGGGGGGGGGGGGGGGCGGGGTGGAAGCGGGGGAAGGATCAGGGGGAGGAAAAGAAAGAGAGAGAGAGAGAGAGAGAGAGAGAGAGAGAGAGAGAGAGAGAGAGAGAGAGAGAAAAAACAACGCAAGAATATGAGAGAGAGAGAGAGAGAGAGTGAGAGAGAGAGAGAGAGAGAGAGGCAGAAGCGGAGGGAGAGGATGACAAGGAGCAGGGAGCGGAAGGGCAGGAGGAGAAAGTGAAAGGGAAATGGTGTTGATGATGGTTACGGTGGTGGTGGTCACCATCGAGGTGGCGATGGCAATCATGGTGATGATGGCGACGCCAGAGCTAGAGACCAGCGAGGCGGTGACCATTGCTATGGTGACCATCGAAATGGTGATCCTCCAGATGTTGATCAGCCAGATCGTGATCACCCAGATGGTGATCATGGTAAACATAAGCATGATGATGATCCAGAGGGTGACTATCGAAATGGTGATGATGGTGACCATCGAGATGGTGATGGTGGTGACCACCGAGGTGATGATGATGGTGATCATTTTGAGGTTCAAGGCCGAATGGGGGTACGCATAGACTGGGGCCCCGGCGGGCTTCCAAAGCCAAGATTTGACGTCGCGGTGGCGGCGCCAGACCAGTACCCACAGTACGTAGAAGGAGAATGGCTTGGGGAGAATGTGCCATCCACTGGATGTTGGTTGGGCTATTACTGGTCATTCCCTGGACAAGTGACAAGGGCCCCGCAGCTGCCACCACCCCCACCATTGCCCGGCAGAGACCCCGACTGGTTTTCCATATGGGGGCCAGCCGTTCTGTAAGTACCACAGCCCAAAAACCAGCCTTCATGGTGGTACTTCCGTGCCTGGCCCGAGGGCCCTCATGGTGGGACGCCAGAAGTGCGGCTGGTCCCCGAGTGGGGCCCAGGCAAGAAGAACAAAGAGGCCCCCTATGCCTTGATGGTGCTGTGGAAGGATCCCAAGGTTCGATATGTCTGGTACCTGCCTTCGAGCCTGCCTGGAGAGGAGGGCATGATGAGGCCGCATTTGGAGGGGAAGAAGAACCGCCATTGTTCCTTTCGTTGCCCCAGCGCCCTCACAGCCGCAGGCGTTTGGCTCGAGCCAGGACGCGCCGATCCCGATCCCTTGTTTTCCCTCCGTGGCCGCGGGGGCCGCAGCCGATGGGTCGCACGCCGCGGCAGCGGCAGCCGATGGGACACACGCCGCGGTAGCGGCGTATAGGGCAGACCTCGATGCAATAGCGATAACGCAGCCATTCAAGCTCAACAGCATCGTTCTGAAATGGTTGTGGGACTCTCATGAAGAGCCCCCAGGATGTCCAAGCCCGCGGCGCGTGGACGTCGCAGACCAGGGCCCGCTGGACATAGGCGTGCTCGAGCGCACTACGGGGATGGCAGACTCGTTCAAGGCAGGCGAGACACAGCCATGGTCATGGCGACAGATGCTGTCCGCCATGACGCGCGACGCGAAGGACCGCATTCTCGGGCGCGACCAGACAACGGGCGTCATATGGGCCACCTGCGAACCCGTAGGTGGGTCGCACGACCACAAGCGCTGGCGCGCCGCGCGGCAGGTGGGGAGGCCATTCCCAGAGCAGGCGCATGTTCCCGTGTGGGTCTTCCACGTCTATCGCACGGATGGCGCCGTCGTCCGTTTCCATGCAGGTTTGACGAACAACAAAGTGGAAGTGGCCATCGTGCCAGGCCCTTGCGAGCCTCCAGGTTTGCCCAAGCCGCCAGCAGCAGGGAAGGGCTTGCCAGACGGCCCAGGCACCTACAGGAGGATAACTGCTGGGAATTACGACGCGCCGCCTCCGCAAGAGCAAGCCGTCGCGGGGGAAACCGCGGTAGCGGAGCCAGGCAACACTCAGGAAGCAGCAGTACCCGTTGAAGCACCTGCACCTGCGGAAGCTAACGGGCCCTGGATCCTGGTGGGGGATGAGTCGGGAGAGCCAAGCAGCCAAGGCATTGGCGCGGGGCAGCAGCAGGCAGCCCTTACCAATACGAACGCGTCGCAGCGTTGGGAGTCGCGTGGCCAGGGCTGGTGGGATCGCGAGAGCGCGTGGTGGGGGCGCAGCCAGGAGGCCTCTGCAACAGCGGCGGGGTCATCGTCGCAGCTTGCTGCCAGCGCCTCTGGGTGATGGGGCAGCGCCGCCAGCGATGGGCAGTGGAGAAAGGATTGGCAGTCATGCAGCGGTCTGCTTCGCGGTGGCTGAGTTTTATATATAATATATATATATTTATATATAATATATAAATATATTTATATATATATATATATATATATATATATATTAGTTTTCCCCCCCCAGCTGGCTGCGCGCTGACTGTTTTAGGCGGGCGTGGCCGCTGCGCGTAGCAAAACAAAGACCATCATCCTCATATGTTGGCTCCTCCGCCCCCCCCTGCCCCCCTCATGTCTCCTCGTCGTTCTCCCGCGGTCATCCTTCGCATCAATGTCCATCGCTTGGCCAGTCGTTTCCGTGACGCCACTGTCATTATCACTTTCCGTTTGTTCTGCCGCGTCTTCATTGCCCCTTCGTTTTGTTGAGGGCGTCGGCATTCAATTTCTTGTGCGGGGATTCCAGTTTTAGTATCTCGTCTCCTCAGTCTCTCCTGCCGTCTGCCTCATTCTCTCATGGCCTCCTCCTCATTCTCGCAGATGTTCCTCATCCTTCTGGCATGTCATCTCCTCCTCATCACGTGTCCTCCTCCTCCTGCGGCGAATTTCTCCAAATCCGCCTCGGCCGTTGGCCAGCGACATGCGGGCGCATGTGCCGGGATGTCGCTGGCCCGTCTGCCCCGTCTGCGACATGCGGGCACGTGTGCCCGCATGTCGCTGGTTGTGCGTGGGTTGTAGCGACGCGCGGGCGCGCGCGCCCGGATGTCGCCGGCCGTCGCGGCGCGCCCTCCGCGAGAGTGAGCTCCTGGAGGCAGCCGTTCGCCGGTCGGTCGCGTGTCGTTCGCCTGTCGGCCGTCGCCATTCGCCAGGTGGCCGCCGCCCCTGAGTCGTCGTCGGCCGCCGCCGTTTTGGCTCGAGCGGCTTCGTGTTCTTCGCGGTTTCGGAGAACGCGAGTAGACTTTCGTGGTAGCGGAAAGCCCAGCAGACTTTTCTTGTCGCGGTAGTGAGAGCGCAGCCATGTCGCAGCTGGATTTGTCGAAGTTCGAGCCTGTGGAGTTGAGTTTGGGCAGATTCACGTTCGCGGCGGCATGGCAACGAAAAGCTCCCCAATGACCACGAAGACTGCGAGGCTTGCGACTGCGCCCAGCTCCACAGAGAGAGCCTTTGTGAGGCGGAGCACCAAAGAGGAGGGCTGATGATGGCCGTAACTGGCAGCAGAAGGTGCAATGGGTCATCTTCCTTCCGCACTGGGTTGCTGGATCGCATGCGGGACCTGACTACCCAATATTGCGACGGGGAACTCCAGGCGGGCCCGCCCCCAGAAAACTCCACGGTAGTGGAGCAAGAGGACATTGATGATCCGATGGCCGATGTGGACGGCGGCGAGATGCAACAGATTTCACCGACCAAGGTGGACGGTGCGAAGCGGACCCGCTACTACAATAACCACAGCAAGGGCAAGATCGCGAAGGCGACGCCCCCACAGCGTTGCCCAGAAGAAGACCCGAACTGCACGGACGTTCGCACGATCCACCTTTTGATTGTGGATCGCAAATCGGTCTGGGTTGCACTTGAGGACGCGGCGTGGGTTGTTCAAATCCTCTACGTGCAAAACCAGCTGCGTGGAGCGGCTCTCATTCCTGCGGATGACGCAGGGCCAGGTGGCGCTCAGGGTGGCGCGTGAGACCATGGCGATGGTCTGAGCCTCCATGGTGGCGGCGCCCATGGTGGGTGGACGGGGTGGCTCTCAGGGCGGGGGGTCGGTCTGAGGGCCAGTAGCAGCGCAGGCCTAATATACATACAATCCTCTGCGCGAACGGGGGCGCCGTGAGCTGGAGGGAACGCTGGGGTCGCCGCCAGCGCAGCTATGTTTTGAAGCTAAGTAGAGACTATGCGGCCGTGGGGTTGTTGCGTTTGCGCGCGAAGGAAAAACCGTGCAACACGTAACCCCCATTGTTCCTTATCATTATTTTGTCGCCGCGCATCCTTCTCCTTCCCCTCCCCCGCCTCGCCCTGCAGCGTTGTCGCCGTCTCCTTCCCCCTTTGCCCTCTCTTCCGATTCTTCGCAACCTTTCGGCTCGAGATTTTCCCCATATCCTAAGATGGGGTTCTTGTTATTACTTGGGCGCCTCCTACTCCCTCTCCTCCTTCCTCCTCCTCTTTCCTCTTCCCCTCCTGTCGGACTTACTCATACTCAGACTTGCTCATACTCAGACCTACTCATACTCAGACTTACTCATACTCAGACTTACTCATACTCAGACCTACTCATACTCAGACTTACTCATACTCAGACAGACTCATACACAGACTTACTCATACACAGACTTACTCATACCCAGACGTACTCATACACAGCAATTTTGCTGGGATGTCTCAGGCGGTTTGCTTGTTTCTGGGCTCGACATCCTTCGCTTGGAAAGCAGATGGTGAGGATGTCTCAGGCGGGGCGCTGGTTTCAGCACCCCTAAGGGGAGCCGCCAGGGGTGGTTGCACGGGCTCGTTCGCGGCCATTTTGTGGGGATGTCTCAGGCGGTTTGCTTGTTTCCGGGCCCAACATCCTTCGCTTGGAGAGCAGATTGTGAGGATGTCTCAGGCGGGGCGCTGGTTTCAGCACCCCTAAGGGGAGCCGCCAGGGGTGTTTGCACGGGCTCGTTCGCGGCCATTTTGTGGGGATGTCTCAGGCGGTTTGCTTGTTTCCGGGCACAACATCCTTCGCTTGGTGAGCAGATGGTGAGGATGTCTCAGGCGGGGCGCTGGTTTTCAGTTCATACCAAGGAGCCGCCAGGGGTGTTTTGCACGGGCTCGTTTGGGCCATTTTGTGGATGTCTCAGGCAGGTTGCTGGTGCGATGGCGCTGAGTCAGAGACTTGAGAGCAGATTGTGAGGATGTCTCAGGCGGGGCGCTGGTTTCATCACCCCTAAGGGGAGCCGCCAGGGGTGGTTGCACGGGCTCGTTCGCGGCCATTTTGTGGGGATGTCTCAAGCGGTTTGCTTGTTTCTGGGCCCAACATCCTTCGCTTGGAGAGCTGATTGTGAGGATGTCTCAGGCGGGGCGCTGGTTTCAGCACCCCTAAGGGGAGCCGCCAGGGGTGGTTGCACGGGCACGTTCGCGGCCATATTGTGGGGATGTCTCAGGCGGTTCGCTTGTTTCTGGGCTCAACAGGGAGGGAAATGACAGGAACGAGGATGAGGAGGAGGAACAGGAGGAGGAGGAGGAGGCGGGGGATCGCGAGGAAGGGCATGGGGGTGCGGAGGGGGAGGGGGAGCAGGAGGATGAGGAGGAGGAGCAGGAGCAGGAGAAGGGAGGGGGCGGAGGAACAGGAGGAGGAAGAGGAGGAGGAGGAGGGCGCTTTGCTCGAAGGTCCTTGACGCGAGCAGAACGTTTGTTCCGAAGTCCAGGACATATATATATATATGTATATAGATGTATGTATTCATAGGGGGTGACTGCGAGGGGGGGGCGGTGGTTGTGTGCGGGGATCGTTGGAAATGCTCACCGTGGCACTATCCTCCAACATGACATGCACTTATGGCCTTGTGTGGCTAAGCGCTCGTTTTACATGTTCCACTGCCAACTATCCTACAACATATGCATCATATGCACATGTGGGAAGCTCCAAAGCTACCACGGGCTGAAAAGCGGAAGGCCTGGCAGCTGAGGAGGGGGATGAAGAAGAAGAGGCTCGCATTCAACCGCGCTCAAAGCTCACTCTGACTCATGCGCAATCACTCGCATTAGGGGTCACTCGTCTTCGTCGGCCCTGTCGCCCACGTGGACGCGCTATTGTAGTCGACCGCTCATGAACAGACGCTCACCACGGCATGACATAAAACATGAGATGCACATATGGGGAGCTCCACGCAGTGAGTATTTCCCAACCATCCTGTGGTGTTGGGTCCTCGTTTTGAAGAGACGGTGCCCCGCGTTCTCCTTCCTTCCTTCCTTCCTTCCTTCCTCCCGCTGCCTCCTCCCCCCTCCCATCATCATCATCATCATCATCAACGCCCAATTCGGCACACCCCTCACACGCTTCGTGGCTCCATAGGGAGCTCCACCGAAGGCCCCACTGGCCGCGGCCGCATGCGTCACCCACGCCCATTTCGGCACACCCCTCACACGCTTCGTGGCTCCATAGGGAGCTCCACCGAAGGCCCCAGTGCCCGCGGCCGCATGCGTCACCCACACCCATTTCGGCGCACCCCTCACACGTTTCGTGGCTCCATAGGGAGCTCCACCGAAGGCCCCAGTGGCCGCGGCCGCATGCGTCACCCACACCCATTTTTTCGGCACACCCCTCACACGATTC